ATTAAGTTTTCTATCAAAACTTTTATCAAACACTTTCACATGCATATAAATCCTCCATGTCGAAATCAAAGAGAAGATTAGAAGTGGAAGCGTATCTTGATCCATAGATGTGACTACTTAAACAGGTTATGATCTTCCAATTGATAAGTAGTTCATTAGAAATTTTTCTCTATTGATGTGGATGCAGAGATATAGAACATCCACGTTCAATTGAGAACCATGACGCATGATATATAATTGAATTAAGCAGTTATTATCTTTTAGTTCTTTTAAATTGACCCCTCATCAATTTAAAATAACTGTTCTGGTGTCTACACTTTATTTCCATGACATTTAATACCCATTATTCAAAATTAGCTTTAATGGATCACTTTATTAATTAAACTTTAAAATAGCACCACACATTTTAATATATATACACGTGTGGCACCACACGTTGGAATTTTCCAACATAAATGCCTATACGTACTTGTTAAATTTGAGGTAGAGTACCAAGACTAGTTTCTTCAACAGTTACTTTTCAATTGATCATCTTAACAACTGTTTATTGGTAAATCCTTTGCTAACATGTGAAATTTTGACATAATAAGGTTCTTGAATTCATTGACACAGACACTTGAGAGCGTGGGTGTGGATCTATCCGAAGCTTGCATATCAGTGGAGATCAATCTCGGAATACGAACAATAGAGGATCGACCTTAGGAATATCAGTGCATGCTATTTTAGGATCATGAAAATTCTATGCCTTCTGGGGTCCCATCAGAAGTGCATTTCAAAATGCAAGCAATGGAGAAGTTGTCAATCTAGCATAGAAAAGGTGAAATTTGACATTACCATGATCCCAGTGCATGTTTACTACGAGGGTTCAGAGTCTTGTGCTATCCAATCTTCCTACCAAATATGCTATTACCATTTTAACTCATATTTGCGTCATTTGCAGGTTTAATGATTAGTTGCTTGTACATGCAGCATTTCTCACCCTGTTGGTCTTTAAGGATGTTTTGATGCAATTTATGTCTCACAAACACACATACTTATATACTGCAATACCTTTTATACCATGGATAACGTATCTCATGTTTATCAAGATCTTTTCCTATTGAATCAGAATATCACTTAACAAAGTAAAACATTGACTTTTTAATGGTAAAATGGACAGTTTGAGCAAACTCCTCCTCTGCCTAAAAAAAGGGGACGAGATGAAGGAGATAACTGGATATTTGAATGTGGGAAAGTGCTCCTGGCAGGTGCCAAGACACTAGTGGTTGCAAACGGGCCGGACGGTTCGTCGGCTCTTGAAAAGTCGGCTCGTAGGCGAGCCAATGAGCTCGCTCGTGGTCTCGTCTTGGTGAAGGGTTAATTTTTTTTTTTTTGTTAAAAAAAAAGGTCTAATTAAAAAAAAAAATTTGACGAGACACGAGCTCATGGACCGAGCCGAGGTTGACTCACGACTAACGAGCTAAGCTTTTGCTCGGCTAGTTATAAACGAGCCACGAAGAGCCGAGCTTGTGTGCATACAGTCGGCTCGGCCCATTGCCATGCCTACAAGACACCATTACACCCAAGATTTTTCCAATACCCAGTCTACTTCAATGTTCAATTTATGCCCTAAATTTGAGATATTAAATTAAGCTAATATTCTTGGCCGTTGCACTCCTTATTTCCGTTCTAGATGTTCACTAAAACCTCAATGAACCAACCCCACTCCAATTTAACAAACTCATGTGCTTGAAATGTGTCTTATTAGAATTAAAATGTATTAAAATGAGGACTGTACTTTTTACATAATATACTAATATTGTGTTAGACCGTCAAGTCATGCTCGAAATACTAATTTAAACGATATTAACAAGAGAAATAAATGAGAACTATGTAATAAGCAGTTGTTTGATTTTATAATATGAGATGATATATCAAGAATTATTGGTATTTGAAATTCCATTGACTGCATTGAAAACAACGTAACAAAAACAAAATTTGTACATGGAACAAAGTGAAGTTCCTTAAAAGCATAGATAGGACCATAGTTTGTAACTAAATTTTGGCCTTGGTTCGCTTGATGTTGTTGGCCATAATAAAGCTTCAAAGAGACATATTCATCATTTCCCTATAATTACAATAAGACTTCGATTTTTCTTCTTTGATTTTTCAAAATTGTGACAAAACAGTTAGGACTTCATATGAATATCCCATGTTTCATGGACTAACTGGGACATGCTTGTTGTGTATCGGACGACGTTGTCTAACCCAACTATAATTCATGGTAACATATTCTGATTTCTTCGCTCTTTGATGATCAGTCCATTTCTTGGGATGCATCAGATTTTTCTCTTTTTGATGTAATTTGTTACCTGATCATGACATGAAAATTTATACTATTAGAACATGATATAATGGTGTTTGTTGCTGTTCTGTTTTGTACTACTTTACATGGTAAATTTGTCGAAAGTGTATCAGCTTTTACTTATATGATACAGTCTTATGAAGGTAATTTGTATTGGACATAAGAATGGGCTTTGGCACGTGAAGGAAGAGAATGAGCTCTTTGCGGCCGGATAAGAAGGTTTTTGAATCAAGAAAGGAAAGGAAGAATTCACTGCTCCTATTGAATCAACTCTTCGGAATGAAGGAAATTTAAGTTTAAATTGTCAGACCAATTAAAGTAATTAGATGCATTATTCAAACTATAAAAAGTATTATGAATTGCTCCGTAGAAAGATTGATTCAATATTAATATGGAACTACTGAAACCAAGAAATCATGCAGTAAGAGGAAGTTCCCGAAAATCAACCTACAGCAGTGGGATGATGTACCAGATGATTGAAAGCAATGGCTCTTGTTGTAAAAGATATTCTGTTTGTTAGAATACAAGTTAAAGAGAGTATTTATGCTCGTCTTAACCCCATTTCTCCCCCACCCACGCGCTCTTCAACCCCCTTTTTCTTTCAGAAAAAGCAACAGCAGCTTGGAACCCTTAACTGAAATAAATAATTGTCCCCATAGAACCTTACAAATAAACATATCGTTTACACAAGAAAATTGTCGAAAATTCAATAGCATAAGAAATAGTCATAAGCGTGTGTATGAGTTCAAAAACTTTGTTAAGAATTTTTTGTGTGAAATAAGAATGTCAAACCTGGTGTACCTGATGAACCTTCCATATTCCTCTTGTATGACCCAAAATATCTCTCTTCAACACTTTTCACCTGCGTAAACCGAAGATATTGTAACATCCCAGAATTTTTTACGCCTAGAAATATAGTTTTCGGGGTTTATATGGAGCTATCATTCAGCATAAACAAATGTTCATGCATGGTCTTTCATATTTTCTGTTTCTTTTGATGAAATTTAGGGTATAAAAAAATCATACAATTCTCTCTTCATTGAGTTGGAGCTTCCTCAGAGAAGCAAGAAGGTTAAGTTGAGCTGTATCATGAGCTGCAAAATAGCAAAAGTCACCACATTATGCATCGCACAACACACATACACGCTTTGTCCCACCACTGCTCAAATAGAGGCTTCCCTAGAAGACAAATCATAACAAAAAATGGATAAATTCATTACCTTTTTCAAGAGATTTCTTCACCTGTAATTGATCAGAAGCACAAGGTGCAAACGTAAGAGAAATAAGTAAAAAACAAGTAGCAATGTTGGTTAATAGTTCCATGGTAAGATGATAAGGTTTTCATTACCTGTGAACCTTGAAATTTATAGTAAATCAAGGATGGGATGAAGTACAGCAAAGAGAACATACACAAAGCACAAAATTCAGAGTTCCAAAATTGGTACATAGCCTCTTGTTTTCTTACAAAATTTATATTTTTAAATATGAGATTCATGTTTTTATACCATTGGGAGGACCAAAGGCTCTAGTTTTCTGACAAAAATATGTGCTTTATATGTTAATCAACTCAAATATTTGGTGACAACCATATTAAACTTAGGTTTGTAAAGCCTATATTGTTAGCTATATCATATATGGGCTATGTACGTTTCTCATTCTTAGTCAAATGATGAATGTTGGGTTGACTTGAGATGTTCCTTGAGCTGAATTCTTATAGAATTTGCGTCAGAATGGGAATCTAACAGAATGATTTACATATGAGAATCAGAAAGGTTTCAAATTAAATATTAAACCCTAAGATATTTGAAGCAATTGTCTAGAAGAACCAAGTC